AAAATACACAATTTATATATTGTATGTTCACAATTTTTGTATACTAAATGTTCACAATTCACATATTGAATGTTTACAATTTACATATACTAAATGTTACAATTTACATACTGTATGTTTACCATTTGAATTGTGAACATACAATATGTAAATTGTGAACATTCAGTATTCTTATTATTATTAGTTTGCATAAGGTTATTTATGTCTTTAAAACCTATTCCATTTCTATTAATTTAATCAACCAAATATTGAAATACAATTTCTAAAATTTATTCTTCCAGTGAACCAAACAGTAGAATACAATTCATATTTTATTCGTTACATATTTCATTCACTCTGAAATAACATTCATATTCTCTTCAAATTCATTTCGTGAACCAAACGTACCGTTAATGTAGACATTTTTTTGAGACTCACAAAATGAATAAACTAATCAATAATTGCCGGCCAAGTTAAAGAGTAAAAATGAGGGACTTGACATTATTAGGAATACGTGTACTAAAATTCCATGCATATCTGTCATATTTATGTGGCATGCAATTTGTACGCGATCACATGATTAAGAAATATCATGCTATCAAAGGACCTTGTGGGCTAGTGACACCAAGTTACTCCTTTAAGTAGGAAACTGTGGGATGAGTTTGAGTGGAGTCCATATTGAGTCTTTGTTCTCCATTTAATTAAGAAAGTAGTTATGAAAATGTGTCCACAGATTTATCTATTTATTCTAAACTTCATAAATTTGCCTCCAAACTCAAAATAAATTAATCTAATTTACTTTCAAATACTTAATGCTAAACAATATACTTGTACACACAAAATGTTCATCCTACTAAAAGCCGCAACAGAGCCAATTAATTAAATTGTTTTGGATTAAATCTATATATGTTGAAGAATGAAGGGAGGCATCTTGGTCTTACAAAGAGACTTCAATTCGTATTGGATTATTATAACACTCAATAATAATACTCAACATCCCTGCCGTTCATAGGGCAACACTCAAACGAAGTATTGGTGTCCAGTGTGATGATGGAAGTAAGCTGTTAATAGGTTTCTGACCATATCAGAAAATCATGTTCCACTAACTCAGATCGATTGGTAACCCCTCTCGGGGTGAGAGATAAATATTTAGTGCTTGAACATTTGCAAATTAAATCTGCACATAATGTCTTGTTTTTACATTGGATATAATATATCTTCCAAAAGGTTGAACCCCAACTCTAAGGGTTCCTCATACCCCGGTCCAACAGAGCATTTAAGAGAATGTAAATCATGATAACTCAACTGAACATGAACCACAGAGGCAGAGTGTGGATTGACACCATAGCTAGCTAGTAGCCAAATAGATTTTTCAAAGTAACAGCAGTACCAAGTGTGACAACCAGCCCCCCCGCAACAGTAGAAATGAGTTTCCAGGGACTATAAAACAAATCATGTCTCAATTTCCCATACCATATATTCCACGCCTTGTCGCAATGGCGATTCACCTTTTCGATCACTCCGGAGAAGGTGTTATAGGTTATGACATCTTGACACAGGTTGTTGAAAATCTTGGTCACCATGTCGTCCGTGGCCAGCCAGTTGACAATGATTCCTCGTCTGCGGAGCAAGTTGACATCCGCAGTGGATTCGATGAGGTCGTCCATGAAGCACGCGAAATCCGTGAAACACACGGGGACATCCTTGGAGTGCTGCTCGTACGCAATCATGTTTCTTAAGAATGTCTCGGTGCCGTCTTGGATCCTGAAACTCGGGATTCTCAGGACCCCGTTGCTGAAATCTAGGTCGAACATTGTCGTGGCATCGTTAGCATTAGGCCCCTCGTCGAAGTATCCATCGTAAACGTTGCCGATCTTCATGAACTCAATTCCATCGCCTTGGAGCTCCGTGGCGGTGTTGATTTGCTCTATGATTCTCCCAGAATCGTAGACATTTCTGGGGGATTTGGGATTCCTAGGAATGCAGAGACTATGAACCACTTCGATCAAATGTTTGGGTAAAACATCAGGGGGTTTATATTCATGATGGGCAACTACGTTTTGAGGAGTTAACTTGGGAGCATGAGTCCCGAAGCATATGTTCACTAACACGATCAGATCTTGCAACAAACCATCATCCTCATTTTCATTATCATGATCAGTATAACCACGCTTCATCTTCAATTTGAAGAGTTCAAAGAGGACGAAGAATGGGAGCTGGTTCTCGAATAATAGCATGTCAATTAAGGTTTGGAATGCTTTTCCGCTAACTTTCATGAACACATCATCTGTCACTGAAGGAGATCACATCGGGTGTCAAATATTTATTCATTCATCCGTACTATCGTGGAAATTCAATTTTGCATTATATTCATTCACGACCAAAACATAATTGTAATATTGGTTATGGATGATGCCTTATTTATAGTGTTAAAGTAGGTGTAAATATTCATGTAAATATTGATTCTGAATTTTAAATTTATCTCCAATCAATTAATGTTAGTCTTGGAGATTGTAAAAGTTATTTGTAATTCAAAACACATGGAGATAGTAAATGCTTATATGTTAGAAACATAACATATTGCTTATTATTCACTTTGATTTTCTTTTCATCTTTATTTAATTATTTATGATGATTATGAAGTTCCTAAACTCTTCATATTCTATAACTCCCAAATGCACCAAATGGGGAAATTTTTTTTTTCGTACTCCATTTTGCTTTAATATATATAGAATTTTGCTTTAATATATAATTCATGGTTGCAGAAGGTGCTAGGCGCTAGTCGGGCGCCCGAGCAGCGCCTAGGCGGAATCTAGGCGGGTGCCAAAAAAAAATAAAATAAATAGTGGTAGACTTGCCGTTTGACAATTTTAATGAGGTTGTTTTCAACATCAATCAAATAACATAGCCAAATAAATGAAATAATGATAATTTATAAGTCATAACATCATAATAATATTAAAATCAATAATTAATGAAAGACGACATCAGACAAAATCACACGAATCGGTCAAAATCGGATGACTCAGCCGAGTTGGCCGACTCGGCCGATTTTGGCCGAGTTGACCGCCTAGGTGGCCGGCCGAGGAATGGCCGCTTACACCCAAAACCAGCAAGGCTTGGTGCCGCCTAGCGCCTAGGCGACCGAATTTTGCAACCATAATATATATAGAGACAGAGATAGAGATTATTACTCTCACATGCACCCTAACATACACATACCCCCACACAGAGTATGTAGTTAATTATAGAAGTTCTTATAATCTCGTTAATTTTTTTATATATACTATTTTTAATTCTAAAATAATAAGTTTTTAAAAAATTATCAATTTTAGTTATTATATTTAAATAATTTTATTATTTTATGTTTTAATATAATAACTAGTAAATTTTGTTATTTTTTAAGTGTAAATAATTTATATATAATTATTATTTGATTTTTAATAAGATAATAAATTTTGGACAACTATAATGGGTATGGTGTCCAATGGTAGAGTGGGTTTTGAAAAAGTCCATCACTACGGGTTAGATGAGGTAGACAATTGTTATTACCATGGACCATGAAAAAGTCCTAAGTTGTACTCCGTATTTTTTAGTATTAGAATTGTGAACTTCTTGAATATAAATTGTGTTTCTAAGTTTTGAAAATTTGTGAATACAATATAAAGTCATTACAAATTGTGAACTTTTAAAAGGTAATTAAATTGTGTATCTTTGGACACGGGTTCACCTTGCAGAAAATTATTGTGTGGACTATGGTCCATATAGCTGTGTGGGCCATGAATGTGATATACATTTTTAATATACTAGCTAAAAGTACATTATTTGTGTACTAAATTTACATTATTTGATAATATATAAATATAATCATGTACTTTCAAATAATGTACTTTATGTATATAATGATATAAATAATATGCTTTTAAGTATATTAAAAATGTACTTTTGATTTATAGTTCACACAAATGTGTGGATCATTGTCCCAAAAATAATGATTGTCACCTTGCAAGGTGGACCCGAGTCCACAGAATAATTTACCCGAGGTGGATATATAGAGAAAGTATAAAGGTGCATGGGGTGGTGGATATATAATGTAGTCATTCCCGACCTACACCGGGCCATTGTTTTCTCTCTTTGTACCCTACGTATACAATCGTTATATCGTGGACGAGGGTCCACAATACACTGTGGACCTTGGTCCAATACACAGAATTCATGTTCATAATATACATACACATAGACACGATATAATGAACATGAATTCTTTGCATTATGAACATGAGCACAGAATTCATGTTCATTATATCGTGTCTATGCGTATGTGTATTATGAACAGGGTCGGTTCTGAGCATGTCCAATATGAGTGACCGCACAGGGTCCCCAATTTTCGAGGGTCCCATATTATTTTTAAAAATATATATGTATATATAGTATACAGAATTTCAGGATAAGTGCATAGAGATTGAGCCAATTTGTAATAAAGTGAAATTGAGTTTAATTGTCAATTGCTTTAAAACCCAAAAAAAAAAGGGTATATATATTTAAATTAGGTGTATTTTTATACAATATTAATATTTTGATACAACTTTTTGAGCAACTATTATTTATATTTAGAAATTACTTGAAAAAAAAAGGGTCCAAATTATGATATTATACAAGGTCTCAATTTTAATTGAAACGGCCTGATTATGACATTATGAAGTCAAATTCTGTATCTTGAACCAGAGTTCACAGTGCACTGTCGACGGTTCACTATATAATTTGCCCTAAGTATAAACTCAGCTTCATTCCTCACTTATTTCTAAAGCAACAACTTTGGTTGTTTTCGTTCACTAAGACATAGTAAACGTCCATCTCTTGAAAGAAGAGTAGGAAAAAAAAAATCAAAGATTAAAATCACCACGCAATAATTGAAAGACAAAAAATAGGCATTGAATTTATATTTGAAGTATAACATAACTCAGGCACCAAATATGTTACTGCAATTATTATATGAATATTAATATTGATACCTTCGTCTTCGTAGTACTTCTCCAAGAACTCAAGAATGAAGCAACCATCGAGCAGCAACATGTCCACGAACTGGGCATCATTCATATGTTGGGTATCTTCAGCGTACCAGGAGCGTGCCTTGTCCTTTAACTCCATCAATCTCTTAGTACTATGTTCCTTAAACCCATCAATCTTTTCAAAAAGAGATTTCTGAAAACCTTGCTTCACACCGTTCTCCAAGCCAGGATCTTCCATATGGTAAGGCCCGATAGATATGAGCTTCGGTTTATAAGCATCCGAGTTGGTTTTAACCAGTGCACTGCTCACTCTGGATATGTACTTCCCAGCTGCCACTTGGTTTTGTTTTTGTTTCTGGTTTGCATTTCTCACTATGGATATGTACTTCCCAGCTGGCTCTTGGTTTTGTTTTTGTTTTAGGTTTAGGTTTAGGTTTTCTTCTGTTATGTCTACACTACAATCTCCCTTTTTTGTCTGCTGCATTTATAAACACATACACGAGTTAATAAAAAATTTAAATCACAAGTATACATTCAGATTTGTATAATTTTCAACCTGCTTATCCATGAAAAATATATAAAATGTAGCACTTACTTTTTCTCGACATTCAGGTAGCAGTGGGACTTTTGAAACAGCCTCGAAATGCGTCATGCCTGGTGAGTTACCTAAAAATAAACATACGACATAATACATTAGTTTTAAAAAATAATTATTAATAACCTATAAGATTCATTAACTTATTCAAATCAGCTCCCACCAAGAGGTGCGCATATGAGATCTATCTATTTTGGGCATAATTATATTCACAGTGTCATACCATCAAAGTTCAAATCTTAATCTCTTTTTTTTTTTTTTTTTTTTTTTTTCAAATACTACCTACTAATAACATTCATGAGCTAAACCCATACAAACAAACTAGATCATACTCATCAATACACCTCAAGGGTGTCATATCTAATCACCCAACACACTTCTCTTCCAGCCACCACTAGAGATGGTGTGGTGCAAGTAAAACCGATCGCCAATATCATCATAAAAGATAAAATTTTTACGCCTTATAAACTCGACATAGTGAAATGATAAATCACGGTAACATAACAATCCATTAAGTAGAAAGGACATGTGTTTGGAGGCCAAAAAAATCTCACCACATTAAGAGAAACTCCTACGCTATGGCTGCTAGAGCTGCCAAACTCGATCTATGTCCTTGCCCATAACCACATCAACAAATTTGAGAGGAGAAGTGGAAGAGAAAGATATATATATGAACTGATGAGATATAGTTGGAATAAAAATGAAAGATATGATGTTATATATAGATAATGCAGAAAATAAAGATGCAAAAAGATGAGAGAATATTGGCAATAAATAATTTAACAATGTACCTAAAGATGAGAGAATATTGTTTGCGAGATATTGCTGCGCTGCATTTGGCATACCTCTTTATAGGCATGTGGTACATACACATTGCACTGTCACATATGCCAATTGTAATCCACCAATGCTATTCTTTATTTCTTTATACTTACCTAGCAATCATTGCTGAATTTAATCTTTTAATAGCATCATTATCAGTTAGGAATATTATGAGGATATTGTAAGAGTGATTAGAAAAGAGAAGATGGGAAGGGAGAGAAAAAAAAAAGAAAGAATAAAAAAAATAACAAAACTGAATTTTTTAAAAAAAATAATAAATAAAAAAAATAAAGCGTCAGGCGCGCTGTCAGTGCGCTTGACACGTCACACGGGCGCGTGCACTGCACGTGCCCGTGTGGCCACAAGAACGCGCACAGCCTGTGTAGCTTTTTTTTTTTTTTTTGTTCTGTTTTTGTTTTTGTATTTTTGTTTTTGTTTTTTGTTTCCTGTCATTCTTTTCAAACTTTGCAGGAGAAAAATTTTCTAATTAACCCCACCCCACATCTATAAATAACCCCACCCAAGTTATTTCATCTTACATTAACCCCATATTATGCTCTATTGTCGATGCTCTAAGTTGACTGCTCTGTTACTAATTATATTGTCAGATTAAGTACTTAATTCACTATACTAAAAATTATAACTAATATCAAGAACGTAATTTTATTTCCTTATATTTGAATAGTAGTCAATATAACTTTTTGATGGCAAGATGTTGAGCTCGGTCATCTAAGCTTCCGCTCAACAAATCTTTTATTTATCGTTGTTGTTGTTGTTATTGTTGTTGTTGTTGTTGTTGTTGTATTTGCATAAAATCGAGTTGAAATTGCTTATCTTACCGATAACCAAAATTTATAAGATATATTACGTCAGAGTGAGCGTATCACATAAACTCAATCGAGAAAATAACATTTTTGGAGATAATAATTTGAGCATGGAGTGTTCTTTTGCTTTTAAAAAAAAAAAGTATTATTAACCCTATTACAAAGTAATATATGTTCTATACTTTCTCTAAATTAAATATTCTTTTGCTTTTATTTAAGTCTAAAGTACCATCTATTTTAATTATTCATCACACAATTTTTAATTTTTTCTTATTATATATATCCTTATAAACTTTAAACATGAATGGGTCATGTAAACATGCTAAATCATCTCAATTTTATCCGATTTTTAATGGTGCATTGCTGTTAAGTCCTTTCACTTTTAATTTGTTGTGAGTTTATTATTATCTGACTAGTATTTTAAATAGGAATGGTAATGAGATGGAAAGTATAGTCTCATTAATTATATCCTCAAATTATTGTGTGGATCATGGTCCGGACCATGTATTATGTGGATCATAATAAAAAAAAATACATTTTTAATATATTAAAAATATTATTCGTGTACAGAATGTACATTATACAAAATAATATACTCTCAAGTATTCAAATAATATACTTTCTCTGAATACAATATACATTTTTAATATACAAAAAGTACATTATTTGTGTATTGAATGTACATTATTTAATAGTATGATCTACCTAATTGTGTGGACCATGCATGTAACCCTGTTGCGCGCTCCGTTCTTAGGGCATCTCCAAAAGGGAGATTTTACCAAGCTTTTGGAACAAGAAAATTTTGCCTATTGAGATTTTAACAAATGGGAGTGTTGCATTTTGGAGAAATCTTTCTCCTGCAATACCCCAAAGTTTTGTCAGAAGTTAAAAAAAAAAAAAAAAAAAAAAAAAAAGATAGACAATTGAGAGTGGATGCAAATTGACGGCCATTCTCAATTGAAAACTATTTTTCCTTTCCAAAAAAATAATAAAAATAAAAAAGGCAGGCAATTGAAAACTATTTTTTATAATTTTTTTTAAAATCACGCTGGCCCAGCTTTTTTTTTTTTTTTTTTAAATTTAACTTTTAAAAATTCTTGTTTTTAAAAAGTTAAATTATTGTTATTAAATTTATATTTATTAATATATTTATTAATTTAATTAAATTTATATCTGTAGATATGTTATATGCATATTTACGTATGTTCATTCATAGTACTATCTTCATATTTACGTATGTTCATTCATTTATGTTTATATAAAATTATAAATTTATAAATCAAATAAATATTTATTATTATTATTATTATTATTATTATTATTATTATTATTATTATTATTATTATTATTATTATTATTATTATTATTATTATTATTATTATTAACGTCTTTTTGTGTCTTTTACCAATTAATTGCTAATATTAAACAGTTAATTTTATTAAATATTTTTTTTATAAATAACTAATAAAATTCGCGGGTAAAACCTACTAACACAATCCGCTGTCCGTTATCCTGTAAAACAAATAATCTATTCCAAAAAGAGCAGAAGAGTAGGAAAAACATAATTGTTGTATCATAATTTTACTAGTTGAATTTTTTTTTAATGCAGATTAATTCTTTTATATGATTTATAAATTATCATAAAGGAACATAATTTCCGTGCATCTTTGTCATCCAATAAAGAACAAATTATCCAGTCACATTGCACTGTTCTCTTAAACTTATCTTTTAATTATTATTATTATTATATTCTTTTTGTATTGGAGTTTTCATGATATCTTATTATAAAATGGTGGTGGTCAGATCAATCAATTTATGAGTAAACAAATTTATAGATAATATCATGTAATTAATTAAGAAAGTGTGTGTATGTCTGTATATATTTATATAAAATATGTTAAATCATCAAAACCTTTTATCACTTTATTAGTCACATTTCCTTAAAGTTGATTTCACTTTTGTTAGTTGTGACTTTATTATTATCTGACGACGAATATTATGGGTTCGAAGTACTACACATTATTGATCTAAGTGGATTTCTTTTTCTCTAACTCAATAGACCATTGCATATGCATTACTCCGTATTATATTAGTGGATCTCACTTTGCTTTGTTTTCATTTGGTTGGCATAACAAAATGTGAATCAGATGGGCATCGCCAATTAAAACACTTAAAAACACCTAATCCCAATTGCTTAAGCTTCCTTCACTCAGAATAACCCTTTCCTTTCCACGACATTGATTGGGCTGCAACAAACAAACCATGATGATCCCTAAGAATACAATCATTATTGTGTGGATCATATTTTGTCTACTATAAAATAATGTAAATTTAATACAAAACTAATGTACATTCAGTATAAAAATAATATACATTTTATTCAGGGGATGTACATTATTTTTGTTCTGAATGTACATTATATTGTATAATGTACATTCAGTACAAAAATAATGTACATTTAAGTATATTAAAAATGTACTTTTTGTTATGGTCCACATAACATTGTGTGGACCATCGTCCACACAATAATTTGCCCTAAGAATACAGCCTAATTAAACCCAGATATAAGATATTACTTGGGCTATCAATCCTATCATGACTCCTGAAACAGGTCTTTGTGTCAAGATTCACATCAAATTGAGCTCCAACTTGCTTGATGTTATAATTAATGCCTCTAAATCACCTAAATGACATAAAGGGATCAAATAAGCACATACTTAGCTTCCCATTAACATAAAATCATAATATCAATTATGCACAGAAAAATAATAAGAATTAGCGCTTATCAAATTGCTCAATATTTCAACTTGTAATTCCAATCCACTTTCTTTTCCAAATCATATATTAAATTTCTCAACTAATCAAAGCTAAGTTTTTCTTTACTTACTCTACATTTATTTCAACTCAAACGTGTTTGTAATGAATTCACTTTCAATTTGTGTTTGTTTTTCAATCCAAAGTATGAGTAGATAGATTCACATAGGAATTTGGATTGAGCTCTCTTGTTATGAATGCTTGGGTAAATTAAATTGCAAATTGGGATGATATGATGCATTAGCTAAGGTTCTTGTTGTGAGTAATACTTTGTATATTAGGACTCAATTATACAAGAGGATCATAGATGTGTGTTGTTGCTATGAGAATAGGACAACACTATAGCCACACTACTCACATTCCAATCTTGCTTTGAGAAGAGGTTGGAAGAAGATGTAAATAAGGGGTCGTTTACTTCATTTCTCTGTTTTTTCATTTTCATTTTTCCATATTTCAAGAAAATTGCTGCATTTTCCACTACCCTGCAAATATAATGCCATTGTGCATCAACATTCAACAATGACCTAAAAGAAAATCTGGACCTTTACCACTCACTGCCCTGTTGACAATTATGTGAACAAACCCATTGCATTGATACAGTAATTGAACAGTAAATTGGGGGTTTGTATCTAAACGCACAGATAATTAGTGAATAATCTTAAAAACGAAATTTTGCTTCAACAGATAAAATCAAAAATTGCAATGAATAAGTAATAATTACTTGTTATACCAAAAGTTTACATTGTTTTGAACATTATCAATTTGTGGAAGGAGATACGAACCGCAAACCCGTGACCCGGAACTATGAATTAGGGTCCTTGCCGCGGAGCCGGAAGATAATCCGTCCTCGGCTCGAGTCGTAACGGCTGACTTCGACTCTGACTCGGTCTCCGGGCAACAGCCGGATGAAATTCTTCCGGATCTTGCCGGAAATGTAACCTAGAATGACGTCATCGTTATCCAATCGGACCCTGAACATGCCGTTGGAGAGCGACTCCGTTATCGAGCCCTCGTGCGTCATCTTCTGCTCGGCCGCCGCTTGGCACCGGACACTATTTCCGTTCATCTTCCTCGGCGAATCGCGCGGCGAGTTGATCAAACCGCCCCTGGCTTTAGCTACGAGCTTCTCGTGCTCCTTTCCGCGGAAACTCGCCCAGTTTGTGGCTTTCGAAGGCGGCGGAGGAAGATAAACCGCCTTGGTGGCGGTGGAAACGGCGGCGGAGGGGGTTGCTGGCCACCATGAAAGGGAGGCCATTGCTCGCTGCTCAGCTTGGCAGATAAGGTGAAGATTGTGAGTTCTACTCACGCGCCCCGCTCAAACTCTCCACTTCTGAGCTTCCCGGACGGCTTTCATAATTCATATTTCTCATTTTCCAACTTTTGGGCTCATATTCCAACTTTTGGTGCTTCAAAGCCCAATACCCCTTAGGCCTATTTACATCCTTCAAAGCCCAATTTACAATGCAATTGGGGCAATTTATATCGTGCACCAGGGCGCGCATTGCATTGTGCGCCCTGATGCAAAACGATGTCGTTTTACATAATTGTATAAAAAAATACACATAATTGTATAAATAAACACACATAACTGTATAAAAAATACACATAATTGTATAAATAAATACACATAATGATATAAACAAATACAATAATCACGTCGACTCCCTTCCGCGCCTCCCAAAACAACGTCGTTTTAGGAGGCGCAGGGCGCACAGTGCTGTGCGCGCCGTAGTGCAGGGTATAACGATTGTGCGATTGGATAGTGATATGACCAATAGTTATTGCATGGACCGTGACCTACACAGTTATATGACGCAATTTATTTTGTCAATTCAGGTCACCTTGCAAGGTAGATTCCGGTCTAAATGTTCACAATTTACATACAAAATGTTCACAATTTGTATACTACAAACACAAAAATGTTAACATATATGTAATTGATTACCCTCACAAGTTTTTTTCAAGTACTGCAGTTACAGAATATTAACAGATTAAGATTTGATGACGATATATTGCATTCACAAATTCCCTTCTACATCTGTTATGTGTTTTGACTTATAAACACAATTTATATTTTAGAGTTCACAATTTCAATACTAAAAATACATAATTTATAAATAGTTTAATTTAGGATTAGGGCCAAGATGGACCTGATCCACGGTATAACAACTCCTTAATAATGTCTTGTTGTAAGGCATTTATAGGAATGTTGTGCTAAAAGAAAACCAATATATTATGGAATACATTTTGATCATATCAAATTAAACAAAATAACAAATTGTGAATTATAAGGGCATAAACATAATAAGCATTTTTTTTCTTATTCTTTTTTTGTCATGTTACTAACATCATTTAATGCTCTTCAATATACACGTAATAATGTAATTAGATGATTAATTATTCGCGTGAACATTAAAAGAGAGTAAAAACTATTCACCGTCCTTATCTAAATGTCAGTATAATTACGTCATTGTACGTTAAAGACAGATATTACATGTAGAGTTTGTGTTTGATGTGGTACGTGTCAACAAGAATCACACCATCATTACACTACGCTCCGAAAATCAAAATGAAAAATGGTTTTCCCAACCCAATTTGCAAAACCAAATCTAAATGAAATGGTTTGAAGCGGTATATTACATGTTTACTATACATTCTTCTTCACCAACCTTATAAGTCACTCATTTTGCCAATCCTTTCACGAGAATTAGGTGCCCTTTTGGTTCTTTTTTCTGGTATTTATAGAAGTTTTGTATTTGTTTAGTTATAGAAAAACATAAGTTTAATTAGTTTATGCAATCTTTCTCTTGTAATTTCCATACTCATTAAACTATTCTCATTTCCCTCATATACACTGATGGATTCTTCTCACAACTACTTCAATTCCTCATCGATCAACTCCGGTATACTTAACACGGACGCCGCTTACCCGCAAGGCGGTGGCGCTTCCTCTTCTGCCACCGCCGCCCCTAGGCGTAACTACACTGCGGGGCGGGCGGCGGTGTCGGAGTCCCGCGCCGCCCGAGGCGGGCCTTGTGGTGCATGTAAGTTTCTAAGGAGGAAATGTGTCCCGGAGTGCATCTTTGCACCCTACTTCGACCCCGATGAGGGAACCGCCCGGTTCGCCGCCATCCACCGGGTGTTCGGGGCTAGCAACGTCTCCAAACTCCTCATGCACATCCCAGCAGACCGCCGCCCCGGCGCCGTGATCTCCATCTCGTTCGAGGCGGAGGCCAGGCAGGCGGACCCGGTTTACGGATGTGTCTCAACAATTCTTGCATTGAAGCAACAGGTAAATTATAAATTATAAATTATATTGTGTATGTTTCATATGTACTAGACAATGATAGGCCTTTGGACAAAAGGTACAAAGATAATATTAACAACAGATCGACAGACCAGACACATTGCTGAATCACGTAAATCTTGTTCTTCTTTTAGGTGTCATCTCTTGAAGCAGAACTTGCGATGGTGAAAACCCAGATAGTGATCAACAGATTTGCAGCAGAAAATAACCTTCAAACCCTTCAACATCAACAACAGCAGCAGGAGCAAAATGCAGCAATAATAATGGAGCAGCCTGTATATTTGAATAATACTTTCTTTGATCCAAACAGCCTGCTAAACTTAAGCAATTTTACCACGAATTACAACTATATAGGGGAAGCCACACCCCCTATCTCACAGTCTTTAAGTCCCATCTTTCAGCCTCCAAACCCAGATCAAGAACATACCCATTACCCACTTCACTTCACCAATCAAATGTTCCCTTAAAGCATATATAAGGGATTGTTCAGACTGATTTTTCTCGGAGAAGAAGAATGGGACCAAAAGACTGTGAATTAGGGGCAGTGGTTTCCCCTATACAGTTGAAATCCGAGATAAAATTGCTTATGTCTAGCAGGTTGTTTGAAGCAAAGAAAGTATATATTCAAATATGCAAGCTGCTAAGTTAAAGGGATTTTATGAACGATTTTGCATCCTGTATGTGAAAGAGAGTCTGTTAGATCATTATAATTCTTTTGAAAGTTGAATTATATTGTATTTAAACTAGTCTAGTTTTACTATTTCTTTTTAACATGGGACAATGACTATACTTAAAAGTCTTCCCAAATGTAATTAATTTCATTTTTCCAACTCAATGAATATATTTTACTATTCCAGAATCAATTTTGTATTAACTCGTTATCTATTTTGAGCTTAGGCTATCTTTATTCCTGAAATAATCTCACTAATCCTACCTCCATATCATTAAATTTGTAATTTCTTCACTATTTTAACATCCTTGCAATACTAACTCCACTTTCTTATCACATTACAATAAAATAATAAAATAATTAAAAAAAAATAAAAATAAAGCTAAGTACATACAAATCTTGCAAGCTTGTAGTACACGCACAAATAAATAAATAAATATATATATATATATATATATATATATATATATATATATATAATTTCATTTTTTTAATCTGTCACTTTGCAAACCCCATCCTTTCAAGGGTGTAATCAACCTTATAATACATCAAATTAAACCTTTTAAAAATTCGAATTTATGTTAACCGATTCAAATCAGATGTAAACCCAACTTAAAATGTCATTTTAACAATTTTTTCAATATAATATACAATTCTAAGGATGATTTAGAGAGGATATGATGCTAATAAGTTGTAGATTTTTCAGAAACAAACCTGCTGCAATTGTGGATTATCCAAGGTCTTTACTTGCAATGGAGAAACCTATAGATTAATTTAGAACGTAGAGATCAATAAACCATGCATTCATAGGAAGATCACCATAAATTTCTTATATAACAACCAGAACTTGATTATAGTAACAAAAATAAACATAATGGAGATACAAGCATTAAACGATATAAGGAGTGAAGATTTAAAAAAAAAAAAAAAAAAAAAAAAAAAAAAAAAAAAAAAAAAAAAGATAAGGGTTAAATAAGTCATCAAACTATATTGATTTGTGCAATTAGGCCCTTTAACTTCAAAAAGTTCCAATTTAGAACTTTAAACTTATAAAAAAAAGTGCAATTAACACTATTTTATAGGTTGCCTTCAAGTTGATTTAGCGAGTTATGTTGATGTGGCTTCCACATATTTTTTTAAAAATAATATATTATATTAAATTTAATTATTAATTAATAATAATAATCATAAATTTAAAAAAAATTTAAAACAATCTTCTAAATTTTATTCATTGTCCGCCATTCTCGCCAATGACCACTACCCACCGCTAGCTATCACCAGCTCACCGAACACTGGGAAGAAGGCAGCAACCTTCTTCCAAATTGGAAGAAGGCAGCCCGTTGTTGCTTTCATCCAAATCTAGAAGAAGGCCGTTGATGCCTTCTTCCAGGCTGGAAGATGCCATCGGCTGTCTTTGGAAGAAGGCAATCATGTAGATAGCGCAGAAGGCAACGAGGTCGATAAGCAAATGGAGTAGTGGCAGGTGGGCGATGGCAATAATGCAACAATGGTGTCTGAAACGGAAAAGCTTATTTAATTTTGATAATAAAAAAAAAAAAACAAAAGTAACAACAACAACAACAACAATATGACATGACATTAACCTGTAAATAACTTGTAAAAACAGGTAAAAATGGGTTAATTAGAACTTTTTAAAGTTCAAGGGTTTAATTACATATTTCAGTTTAGTTTGAGGGCTTATTTGACACTTATCAAAAAAAAAAAAAAAGTGAGATAAATGTCAAATTAAATAAGCCCTATATTTCTTATCAAAATAACAATTAACCCATCAAACTTTAAAAAACCTCCAATTACAAACTCAAACTCAATAAAATCATACAATTAACTCCATTTTACCGGATTTTACCAATAAACTCTATGTTAAATGCAACATCATCCTAATATTACTTATTTGGAATGATTAATATATATATATATATATATATATTTTAAATAGTCTCTTTCTTGTTCATTTAAAAAAATGTAGATTTTGATAACACATTTACAATCATAGCCAACGGCTTCCCGCTATTGCTGCCTTATTCAGATCCAAAAGAAGGCAATAATTGCGTCTCCTCCTTCAAATATAGAAAAGGGCGATGATCGTTGTATTCTTTTGATCCAAAACAGGTGACAATTGACGCTTTCCTCAAATCTAAAAGAGACAACAACTATTGCCTTCTCCAAATACAACCTAAGATTTACAAGAAGGCGATGTCGTATAGCTTTCTTCAGATCCAGAAGAAATGTGATGCTCATCGCCTTCTTCATATTCAAATGAGGTGACACCATTGCCTTCTTTAATTAGATTATTATGATATGATGACCATCGTTTCTTCAACCCTAAAGGAGGAAACTCCTGCTTTAGACTTAGAAAGCGATAACAATGTTACCTTTTTTCAAATCCAGAAAAGAAAACAACAATCGCTTTCTTTAGATTTAAAAGAACAGGCGAAAAACATTGTGTTTTTCAAATCCAGAGGAAGGAACCCCTCAAACCTAGAAATAAAAGGCACAATCATGTTGCCTTCTTCAAATCTAGAAGAGGCGACATTTATTGCTTTCTTCATATCTAGATTGAATATGCAATACTCGTCACTTTCTTTAGATCTAGAAGATGCAACACCACCACCTTCTTTAGATCTAAAAGACATGAGAATCGTTACCTTTTTCAATTCCATAAGAGGTGACTACCATTGCCTTCTTCAAAATCCATCAGGGTAGAACTCTTCGTTAAGTCTAAATGGTGATATCTCAAATCTAGAAGAAGGTGATTATCGTGTTCTCTTCTTCAAATCTAGAAGAAGCAAAAAACCATCCCCTTCTCCAGATCCAGAAGAAAGTGGTGAACGTGTTACCTTCTTCAAATATAGAAGAGACGACACACGTTACTTTCTTCCGATCCCAACCCTATTGCCTTCATTATATTCATGTGGTAACATTTATATTTTGAACAATTATAATTTAAATCCAAGAAAAATCCAACCTAACTCGATTTTCTCGTGTTGTTACACAAATTTTTTTAATAAATATAATATCTATTTAAAAAAGTGACGATTCCCCGGCTAATGTAAAAATGAGCATTTTTACTCTTAAAAAGAAGGACAAGTATTTTATTTATTTTTATTCTTCAAAAAATTATTATTTATATGTAAAAATTAGAGTAAATGCAAAAAAAAAAGGCACCAATTACAATATTATAATTATAATTTTAAGTTAATGTTAGTAAATATTTAAACAAAAATAATTTATTAATGCTTATTTAGCATTAATGAATTATTTAATTTTTCTTAAGTCTTAATTCTATTACTAACATTAGTTTAATTTAAAATTATAATTATAATATTTATATATGGTGTCTATTCTTTTTTGAATTTATTCTAATTCTTATATATAAGTTCTAATTTGTTGGAGAAGAAAAATAAATAAAATATTTGTTTTGCAAATGAAATTCTTATTTTTAAGGGTAAAAATGTCCATTTAATAGAAAAGCTTATGATTTTTTCAATTGCACTTTTCTAGATTTTGTAGTAAACTTATGTATTGGTAATAGTTCTTGTTGCATTATGCTATCAATGAATTATGGATTATTTATGCAATAAATTAAATGAATGTATGATCAATGTATATGGTTTTTTTGAAGATGTTCTTTATATTGGTCTATTACCAAGAAGAAAAAGAAATATGTTGAGTAGTTTATAATGTCATTTGAACATATTTATTAACGGAAGACCAAATGTCCAAAAGCGATCATGCACAATAATGCTAGGACCAACGGGGATGTTCTAGAAAAAAAAAAAAAAAAGGGACTAGAAGTGGAATGAAACATATAAATCTATGATGGTTTTGTCAGGACCAGATCCACCATAAACTGGGTATAAGGACATAAAATCGGGAGTTGAAAAATAGTAGTATTATTACTCGGCGCGATAGGCCCAAATAGTGTGTACAAAGCCCGAGGTATAAGCCCAAAATGGCAGCCTAAATACAAAAAACTAAGGCCCAAAGGATGAGCTATAAATAATTAGGCTATTGACAAGAGTTGAACCCAAGTGGATGGCTTGAGAGTATAGACCAAACATTACTAAGCCAAGGTGTCTATAGTGCTTAGATAGTGATATTTTGGATAGAGGCAATGCATCTTATTTATAGCAGAACCTCAACCCCTATGTCGCTGCACTGTCCACGTGTACGACCCTTGATTTACTTCCCCTCCATCCTCACGTGTCCCATGTCCTCGCACGATGTCGCGTTGTACCATAGCCTATTGCAACACACCGTCCTACCGCCACATCGCACCACCCCTGAAAAGGGGGTGCAAGCAAGGCGCAGGGAACCGTGTCGGGGGCACATGACACACCTCAGTAAGCAGGGGCCCAGTGACCCTGTACAGCTAGCTGCCACCGCCTGGCGGCACCCCCTCCTTTGGCATCGTCGCGCCGCGCCACCTCATGAAATGGGGGCGCTCGGAGGCGCGCTGGGATGTCGGACACGCCTTCACTGGCGGGGCCAACGCCCCAACCGACAACCCTCCCGGCCACCCGCTGGAGGCCGAGCGGTACCCCCTCCCCTTTCGGGCCGACTCGTCATCCCTTCCTTAAACCTCTATCTCCTTTGACCCTTCACTGCCAAATTCAGCCCAATAGCACACGCTCAATAAATCTTAGCCCATAACCCATATCCCCATCATTTTAGGACCAAAAAAAAAATAATTAACACTTATAAATGAATAGAACAAAATGCCCTTGTATTTAATGTCATTTAAACGATTTTGTTGACGGGGACTATAAATGGTTA